TATCTAATATTGTCAATACCTTATAAAGTTTATTTTTACTTTTATAATATCCAATATATATTATAAGTTTTTGTATAACATTAATATAATCTACTTTTCTTATGTCGATAATATTTTTTGGATAAAATAAAAAATAAGTTGTTTTGATTGAGCTATTAGTAAACAATATTGAACTAACAAACTTTGTATTACACTATTTATACTACACCAAAACATCAAAGGTTTCATATATGAACCTTTAAATATTAAACATTAAAATTAAGAATGAAATCATACAAAATATATTATTATACATAAATATCATTAAGAGTTTTAAAGTAAGTCGATTAGTAAATATGATATTTAATTTTAATTATATATTTTGCAAGGCGTTCCTCTTCCTTAATTTGTACCTAAAAAATTAAGGTGAATATGAATATAAAATAGATATTATCAAGCATTAATATAATAATTAAAAAGTGTATGTGGATCTAGCGGTATGGCGTGATCATCTCAAAGGAGAGGCCGGGAGTTCAAGTCTCGGTGGAGACATAGGTGGTTAATTAGGATTTGCCTTTTCAAAAAAAAAAAAAAGATCTCCTACCACCGGTTAAAGACAACATACATTTCTAGTGGTATCGATTCTTATGTGAAATTGAAGTAGTCATTCTATGTATATCTTATTTTCTAATTACATAAACAAATATGAGTAACCAAACATAAAAATGTTATCTTTATGTAGGAAAAATATTTTAGTTAACTAACAAATTAAATAATATAAGTTTAAGAGTTAGAAGTTTCAAAACATTAATATTTTTATTAATCAATCAATGAAGTAACACATATTGAAATTTTTACAATTATTATTAAAAAACATTTGAAAGATTATATTTTAAATGAATTTTAGTTAAAGTGTTTTGACCTCTATTATATATATATATATATATATATATATATATATATATATATATATATATATATATATATATATATATATAGAAAGAGAGAGAGAGAGAGAGAGAGAGAGAGAGAGAGAGATTGAAAGTATAACATATGTATAAGTTTTAATTAATTATCTTTTTTAAAACGGTACAATTACAAAAAAAAAAAAAAACATATTTAAAATATTTAATTAAATATTTTCGACATCACCTTATATAACATATGATCAGTATATTAACAAATAAATCACAATATACAACAACTGTATTACAATAATTTAAAAACGAAGAAGATATAAAAAAAAAATTAATATAACAAACTTACAAATTAAAAGCTCTAATATAATAGCATATCTCTAAAAGTGATCATAAGACCTCAACCCAACACAAAAACCGTTAAGTTTGTTTTCTTTCTGAAAATTGTATATGATTTGTATGCATGTCTTCCCAAAAGATTGATCTTTTATAGTAAACTTTTCATTAAATGCTAATTAAACATAATATAAGTTATAAAACTTTTGAGTGTTAAATCATTATTAATAAAACTTTTGAGCTGCATTAGTTAAAAAATGGGGTTTTAAATGAATGTGGTTTAAGAAAGTTACAAAAATGGGTTTCAAATGCATGAGATTTAAAAAAAAAACGCTAGTTTTATAAATATATATATGATGATTGTAATATAATCCATTGAACTCTTATTACACTTCTCGTTGTGGATGCCCTTACTACCTTACATTATAAGATTAAGATTTTCTGTTTCAAAATTACATCAATGTACTGAAATGAAAACAATTTACCTAATTGAAGTAAATTCAATGTTCATATATCAACAATCGTTGATGATTTCACCACAATAAACGATAACATGAAGTAATATTCTTAGTTGGCCAATCATGACAAGATATTTGGAGGCTGTATATTCTTGGATTCTAACAAACAACTTATATTTCCTTATGAATTATCAACTTTTGTATCGACAATCTTTAACTATCCATATTTATGTATTACTTTATTGCTTTGTTATTATCTTCTGTTTTTGTTTCAAATTGTAACTTCTTTTATTATCTTATTTCAAATTTTCATTAAGAAAACAATAACAATGAGCTAGCGAAAACAACAATTACATGAGAATGTCAGTATAAATACACTCAACGATACTATCGGAAATACTATATTTTTCCTTTTTTTTTGCTTCCATAAAAAAATTATTGAATTTTAATTGGTTATTACAAATAAGATAAAGAGAAGAAGGAATACCAATACATCTGCCAAATAATTTTCTTTAGTTGGAAGTTGATCCAAATTACTGTTAACTTTCTTTGGAATCACACTGATGTAACACTCTCAAAGTGAGTATATACGTTATTTATTTAGTAATTTTATTAAATAAATAAGTTTAAATCAAAATAAAACAGTTAATTTAAATATAAATAAATAATATTGATAAATATAATGCTATAAATCAAATACAAGTTTAATAGAGTCAGAATAAAAAAAAAACTATGTTAGAAGATCCCAAGTTGTCAACTTATGAAAGTTAATATCTGTTTCTTGACAGAATGGACTTGAATGTTGTAAATTATACGAGGAATGGTTAATTAGGAAAATATAAAACGTACTAGTTAAGTTTTAGTCACAATGATATCATAATGTAAGGTTATTGAGTGGATGAACCATTTTTAATGTTGAATGCGATATCCCAATGCATGCTTGCATATAAACATAAAATTAGCAATCTCAACGTCATATTTTTATATTTTCTGAAACTAGCATTGTGACTTTATGAATATATTTTTATCTTTTATAAAAAAAATGTTTGTATATGGTGAAGGTTGGAAGTTAGAATTGGCTAAAGGGTTTATTGTAAAAGATAAGTAGTTGCCTCAAGAATGTGGTGTTATCCAAAAATATCAATTTGTTTTTATGTGTATATTATATGGCTATGAATTTGAAAGTGGAATTGGCAAATTACATACAAACCATACCAATTGGTAACGCGATAACAATTTGAGTGTGCTCACATTGGATACTATTCGAATGTGCTCAACTTTTTTAAGATATCATTGGAAATTGGAGATTAATAATACATACATAACCCAAAACATGAATACATACACAAACCAAAACATCAACACATCAAATGTTAACACATTATACATGTACAAACCAAAAGAACAAGATGGTATATAACCATTACAATTAGTAAATATATTAACAAAAAAACAACCCTACATTATCATATAAACTACATACCAAAAGATTAAGAAGTTCCACATCTTCATCATTACCTAGGGCCAAAAGCAAAAAATCCACATCACTAACAAGAACCAAGAAATGATAGTAAATGGGGTTAGTTTCATCACAACCTAACTATTCCTCATGTCATGAGGGCCATAAAATGAAAAATCATTGACGTCTATGACATCAAAATAGTTTATGGTTTGAGTAAATTATTGAAATCGTCCCTGTGGTTTGGTTAAAATTGCACTTTTGATCCCTAACATTTTTTTTGTATTCGGATTGTCCCTGTGGTTTGATTTTTTTGCGTTTTTCGTCTATGTGGTTTGATTTTGTTACATTTTTTGTCCCTTACATACATAAAGTTAGGGACCAAACATGCAACTTTTACCAAACCATAGGGACGAAAAACGCAACAAAATCAAACCACATGGACGATCCGAATGCAAAAAAAAAGTTAGGAACCAAATGTGCAATTTTGACAAAACCACATGGACGATTTGAGTATTTTACTCTTATGGTTTCATTGATACACCTTCTTCCCGAGAAATTAGTGGACTTCTAACCATGATGAAACTTCATTGCGAAAAAAAAAAATATGGACTAGAAATACGAATTTCCAGAAAGGTAAAGGACCACTTATGTAACTTTCTTTTCCTCCTGAGGCGTAGGATAAGAGAGGATTGAGTAAGTATTAGGTATTAATATTAGTAACATTTAATTAATTAAATATGATTATGATTTATGAATATAATATTTTGAAATATGCCGCGATTTACGGTCGTAAGGTAGGCCTAGTGGGACAGGATAAAGACTTTGGATTCCCCATAACTCACGTACACGTCTCCACATTCATCCAATCGAATCCTGCCACGTCTGCATAAAGATCTACGGTTTTTCATTTTTAATTGTATTTCCTCAATTAAAGAATATAATTTGGCGGGCATTCAGAATTAATTCAAATTGCGGATTTAAAACCCTAGCAACTTTCACTTCCCCCAATTTCTTCATCCTCTCTCTACTTTCTCTCTCTACAGGTTCGTTTGCTCCCTCTCTAATATCTGGTCCAATCTGTTTGTTTGCTTTCGTTGGCGCGTGATTTTCGATTAATTCGTCATTTTGGGATGGATTGATTGCTTCAATTTTGTGTTTTAATTCGTATCGACTTTTAGTTGTTTTTATCCGTTTATGAAGTCTGGTTCGTTATTCCTTTTACCATTTCTACGATGTTTGCTTTGATGTGATTATCATCGTCTCCAATTTTTGCATGTTGTGCTTCTGATTTTAGGGGTTTTTGGTTGTTGGTTATGGATACAGGTGAATTGAGTAACCGAGCGAGAGGATGATAGCCAATGGCGACTTCTGATGGTAATTATTACTTGAATATTACGAGAAAAAGTTCCTTCGTGTTTATAGACAGCAGGCTGCAGTTCGGTTTTGTCTTCGTATACGACAGTGTTCAGCTTGTGCAATCGGACTGCTGTCCATAAACTTGGACCAAGTACACTTTCCTTTGATTGATCTGAACTTGCACGTAGTTGTTGTTGCCTTTCTGTTTTCAGTCGTTATTCTTCATTTTTATAAACAGATGTCTGTATCTGATTTTCTCGCAATCTGGTGTTGATTTCGCTATTCATATTTTACACGGATTGTTTAGTTTTAAAGTTCAGAGTTTTAACAGATTTGAGATGTGATTATACTGTTTTAGGTACATTGGTGGTTGCCTTTGGTTGTGACGTTAGTTTAGATCTGAGCAGCAGTAGGCGGAAACATAGATTCTGGCTTTTGGTCCCTCTGGAAGGATTAGAATCATACGGTTGACATCTAAAAAGAAGAAACTGAATGGGTAAAGTGTCCCCTAAAGAGAAAATGTCAAAGACATCAAAGCAGAAGAGGCGTAATCATGGTTCTAACAAGTACTTGAAGCCAGGTGCTCTTGCTCAGCTCCGTAATAGCAAGGCCTCAGCATCAAAGTCATCTACAGATATTTCAAAGAACAGTGTTGATGTTATGGATGAAGAGAAGACTCACAGAGCTCCTCTTTTTCAGAGTAAACATGCAAATGATACCCCTATAATTTTATCCCCTGAAAAGTTCAGCTATAGTAATGTGGCTGGACCAGTTGATTTGCTCAAAGAGAATAATTTACAAAGAACACCCAAAACTCCACGCCCTGAAGGAAATGTATCAGATTATGACTCCAGACTCGAATCTCTCCCAATGGAATTGCTGGTAACAACATTTTCATATCTACTTAGACTGTTTCTATCTTATATTCTTATTCATTCTTGTCTATGATTGAAGGTCAAAATACTCTGCCACTTGCACCATGATCAACTAAGAGCTGTTTTTCATGTCTCTGAAAGAGTCCGAAAGGCTGTGAGTTTCTTCATAACTTTCTCCTTTCCATTTACTCATCCAACAAATAGTTTAACTGGAAAACTGGGAAATGATCATCTATTCATTTCACAGGTTGTTATAGCTCGACAATTCCATTTCAACTACACAACACCAGATAGATCTAGACAAGAAATGTTGTGCACATCAACACCATTACCTACTGAACATTGGCCTTTTGTGAGGTTATTATCTCGATTACCTTTTCTTTTTCTCTCTTCTTTTCTTGAAAGTTAGAATCATGATTTGATTTTGAATCTATTACAGCAAGGGAGATGGAAAAGGCAAAGTTTTGACACTACCCAACACCCCAAAAGCACCTAGGCATGGACCCCGCCCTCCATCCCGCCTAAAACTAACTGAAATGCGCCAAATTGCAGCAGTTCTGTTTCAAGAATCAGCATTTCCTCCTCCCAGATACATTGTTCCATCTCTTTTACCAAAACCAATCTGCAAATCATTTGCTTCAAATCGGGTATTGTTCTATGATGAAGAGCTTGAGCTTTGCCAGGCTGTCGCTCAGAATAAGCTTCGTTAGTCAGTCTTCTTCATTTGGGGCCTTCTTTTATGTACAGTAGTACCCCCTCCCCCCCCCCCCCCCCCCCCCCAAAAAAAAAAAAAAAATGGGAACTTTGAGTCTTTGATGTGTTCTTAGGTTCTTGCCACTGGTAGGTAGGTAGGATAAGATGGTGAAATTTTGAAAGTCTATTGGGGTTGTCATCGGCTTGATGATGACCTTAAGATTTGGGTGAGTGGTAGAATACTATGGTTGATAATATGAAATAATGTGTTTGGTTTTATGTTTTGTACATATTGTGAGGACAATTTGCTTTTAGGATGTTTGTTTGTTACTCTTTTTGGATAATATTTCTATAATACTATAGAGTTTTTGTGTTTGTGTTCTTGAGATTCTTTGTATTGTTTGTTACTCTTTTTGGATAATATTTCTATAACTTGCCACAATCTTTTTGTAGTCTTAAGGCCCTTTTTGGGACATGAAATAATATATTGTAGTTTCATAGTTTGTCCTGTGTTTGACATGCATTGACTCAGATTGAGATTGGTATTAGTGTAACAAAAATTGAAGTGTTTTGTCCTATTCAAAAAAGTTGGGAGAGGGAGTTTTGATCTTTTGTTTGTGCAAAAGATGTGCATGTATTTCTACATGTTTCAAGATGTGTATTTTAGAATGTGATACTAGCACATTCAAAAACAAGTAGTTTGTGTAGCTTTTTAATGTGAAAAGTGAAGGACAATAACTTCTTACATGAAAGTGTAGTTCATTTATGGGATGAATCAGAAAGAAAGTGATGGGGGAGCTTGTATGTCTTACAAGAACACTCGAACACTTCATTGATGTGGGCATGGTCTTGTTTGTGATAGGAGCTACACTACTAGCATTAAATAAATGCATTTCACTGCTTTATCACTTTTATACATTAATTGATCCCATATATTGGTCCTTCTGTATCTAACAAATATAAACACATGAAGTACGCAATCGAGGTTATGAGGTGTGATCAACAATTTATAGGGAAAGCATACGTAACAGAATTTTATTTGCTTAAATACTAAATATAATGACTGAAACATCTAAAATCTTTAAAAATAATGTTTATGCAAAACACGTTATTTGATAAATCTTATCACGAGTATACTTATTGAGTTTACTATTTGGTATGTATTAAAAATTTCATTTTCAACTAAACATGTCATTTATAAATGCAAGTTCAAAAAAACAAAGGTTTCTTTTTTTTGTTTTTTTTTTTTTCCAGCAAAACTTAGACATAGACAAATTCAGTGTACCTGTTTGGTGTTTCTTTATTTTGCAAATAAATAAATAGATAAATCGGGAAAAAATGTTGGGTTCTCATTTTTAGATCTGAAAGACCCTACAATGTAAATTTCATTAACAACTAAAAAATCACGTCTTATAAATTTTAGAAGTTACATTTTCATTAAATAAGAGAAAAAAGACAAATCTGGCCAGTGATAGGATGAGTTGGAAGAAAATAGCTCCAAATTTTCTGATTTCCACAGAAGAATCACCAATTTCGTATTTGAGACTTTCTTATTTATATACATTTTTTTCTGAAAAATGTCTCTCAACCAAACATTTCATTTTTTTACTGCAAATTGTTTCTAAATATCTCCCCAACAAAAGAAACTTAAAAAAAACTCTTTGCGATAAAAAAGTGATCTATGCAATAATTTAAATAATTGTACAGATCAATTTCGCAAATATAGAATGAAACTTTATATGGTATACAATTTTCTTGTTTTTTAATTTTTTTGGTCGGGGACATACAAAATAAAAGTTCTCATCAAATAATAAACTTCGCAATGGTTCATAATTAGCTGTTATTTGTGGAAAAAAAAAAAGAGCAAAATAGCAAATCATGTGTCATACAACTAGAGTTGTCTTTTTGTCACTATAAAATAATCTTAAAGGTTAAATCAAATACATACAACATTATACTTTACGGATTCTTTATCATACACAATAGAAATATACTTTTTAACTTTCATCATATCATATATACTTTTATCATATTTAAACCAAAAACCCATACCCGAAAATTCCCATGAATCTGAAGTAAACAAGAAGAAAAATAGAGCTTTTGATAGCAAACTACATGATTACTACTACATTAAGATCTTTCGACATTTGAGAGCTTATAAAATCAAAATACAAATCAACAAACATATATGAAAATTAAATCCAAGAACAAGCCATGGTCAACTAGTTTTCTCTCTCTTCTTCATCACAATATGGAACACGCCTTTTGACCTTTTCCCTTCTTCTTCTTTGCCTTTGGAGGCGCCAGAACGACTTTAATTGCAGCATCAAAAACTTGCTTCACATTCTGCCAAAAAAAAAAAAAAAAAAAAATCAAAATTTAAAATATCAAATCCTCAAAAAAAATCAAACAAAAGTCAAACCTACCAGCTGTGTTTTTGAACTACATTCAATGTACTCAGGAGCTCCAATCGTATCCTTCAACTCCTCTCCCTGTAAAAACCCACAGAATATTAATCAAATCACAAAATATTTTTAAATTAAAAAATAAAATAATATTAAGAGTAGTAAATCACCTGAGCAGAAGTAATGGGTGTTGCATTAGGATGATCCACGAAAAACTGCTTATCATCCCGAAGATCTAAAATCCAAAAAAGATTCAATTTTCACACGTAATTTTATTATTTCTCAATCATATAAAGATACCCAAAAAATAAAAAGAAGAATCATTCATGAAATACCAAAAAAAAAAAAAAAATTACATATGAAAAAAGCGCGCTTGTGAAATAACTCACCAAGTTTTGTCCCAACAAGAACAATTGGAACGCCAGGAGCATAATGCTTCAACTCGGGAATCCACTGAAAACATAAACAAAAGACGTAAATACCCTTCTCATTAAACTGGGACTACGACTGATGTCAATGACATGACATGAAAGTACAGGCTCTCCTACATTGAACAAAAATTGATTTTTTTGTACCACCAATAAAGTTGGGATTGTGCAAAAGACGTAAATGCCCTTCTCATTAAATGGGGCTATAAAAAAAAAAAAAAAAAAAAAGAGATGTTTCACCTTTTTGGAGACGTTTTCATAGCTGGCTTTGCTAATGAGAGAGAATGCCAAAATGAAAACATCGGCCCCACGATAACTCAACGGTCTTAATCTGTTATAATCCTCCTGTCCTGTTCCATACAAACCATGATTAAGTTAACCTTACCAACCCATGTTTCAAAATCAAACAAAGGCTTCAAAATTAAATGCTTCAAAATTGAAATACAGATGTACTTTCATATACTTGTGTATTATACTATTATTGCATCCTATTTTCATTTATTTAGATCACATAGCTAAAATTGGGTATATTTTGCAAAACTACAATGTTGTAATAAATAATAAACGAATCAATGAAAGTAAATTGACATTTTTGCATTTAATAAATTAAAATTTTCACTGAAAAGGTTAATTACCAGCAGTGTCCCACAAGCCTAGGTTAACTGTGCTTCCATTCACAACCACATTGGCACTGAAGTTATCAAATACAGTTGGAACATAATCCTGTTTAATCACAATCAATAACACACATTCAATAATGGTTTTTAACTTTAATCACAAAGTATGATTATGTGATAAATTTGATGTACAACTGGAGAAAATTCATTGATTTTGTCAACGAACAAATTTGGTTACACGAAAAGAATGTCATCATATGCTATTTTCCTTTTATGTAAGATTGGTAAAATCGGGAACAAGATAAAATTCGTTATTTTTATAAACAAATGTTTACCCGCATTGGAGTGATGAAAAGAAGAATTAGAATCTTTTGATCGATGACAATAAATCCGAAAAACAAGAGAAAGTTCTGATAAGTTAAAGAGAATAATGAAAAGAACTTGACATCTGTAAGCAATGACACCAAGAACAAGAACACGAACAAGACAAAAGAGTATTTAATTCTTTAACCAATAAAAAACAAGAACGAGAATAGAAGAGAAAATTAAGGAAATTTTTTCATTTTTAATAAGAGAAAATTCATCTTCTTTATCAAGAAAACCCATATTAGAATTAGATTGCCGAAAAGAATGTCGTCAGCATATACTGATTCTCTTTTTCCAATTAAATGGGAATCAATCAAAAGTGCATTCAAATTTTCAACTAATAGAATCAAGAGCACTATTCATCGATAAAAAAAAATGGATAATGTCCATAGAATTAACAAGAATTTGAAAATATGGGGGGAGAAAATGATCACCGTAGGGAAGGTGTTGCTGGTGTAAGAAATCAAGAGACATGTCTTTCCGACAGCGCCATCACCGACTGTGACGCACTTTATGAACCTCGATGCGCTCATATTTCTTCAGATCTTCTTCTACCTTCAGAAGACCTGATTACCGAAGAACTCAAGAATTCCCCTTTTCTCCTTTTTTTTCGTTACCTTCTGAAAAATTTCGACCTTGTTTTTGTTTAAAATGAACGACAATTTGCAAAGTTTTCCAGCGAAACTCCAAGAACAAACCCTAAGAAAAAAATGCAAAAGGGGAAAATTGTATACTACAAGGAGTAATGTTCTTTCTTGTTGGAACAGAAAACCCTAAAGGAAGGGAATTGTTTGGGGTTGAAAGAGATGAGAGGGCCTTTGTTTCGCCGGGAAACAATGCCGTTGAATCGTTCGCTGGGTGGTGGAGATGAACTCTCTCTCTCTCTCTCTCTCTGTGGATTTATTTAAAATAAAGTTGGAAAGAATTCTGAAATTTGTGTTTTTGTTGTGCCAACGAAATAGGTGTTTGATGGATTAATATTGCTGTAATACATAATCGGCTGTTTCATTTATAAATACAACTGTGTAATTCAAATCAAATCTTAAATGATTTCTCTTTTTGTTTTTTTTTCTTATGATTCTTGTATTGAAATTATTATACTTACTTTAATAATTTAAAGTTAATTACGGGTTGTCGTATTATTTTGAATGATCAAAAGTTAAATTATGTATTTTAAAATGGAGAAAATTGTAAATTTAGCCAAAAACATTAATTAGTTTGTAGAAAATAACCAAAAAAAATTGAAGTTGCAAATATAG